TTTGATAAAAATTCACAAACCTGCGGAAAAATGCAAGTTTCTTCACTTTGATTATTTTGACGAGAGCCTGATTCCACCACGCTGCCTCACATATTGTCGTAAAGCTTGTTCATTTGTCTTGCATTTGGCAAACTTAAAAAAAAAAAAAAAAAAAAAAAACACACTCATCTATCTAGAATAGAAGTCAAGATATTTGCGATTGAAGGAGACGGGGGGGGGGGGGGGGGGGGGTCGTCTCGTGTTAGAGACAAAATTTAGAGAGAAAATGTTTGCCAAAGTTTGGTGACTTGCGTGTCCTTGGAAACTTGAAATGACATTAAATTTCTTGTATACCTTTAATCAACATTTTTCAGAAAAATCCTCCTAGAAATGTGTTTTTAAATAGACCTTAACGGTGTTGAGATTTTAAAAAAACTCAAAAATTATTTTTAAAATGCCAAACTGGAGGAAAAATGCCAGTTTCTTCGATTTCATTAGTTTGACGAGCGCGTGATTTCACCAAGATGCCTCACATTTTTCTACTAAAATATTTCTTAATTTCTGGTTAACTCTGCCCAAGTTTATTTATGTCTCATGAATTATTGTCATTTTTGAACAAATTTTAATGATCGGCAAAATTGTCCAGAGTTTTTTATCTAGGTTGTTGTATGTGACTTAATTTGCTCTGAATTAATTCACAGTATTTAGACTTTGAAACTTGTGGAAATACAAAGATGGTTCAATATTGTAGAGTAGAATAAAAAACAAACAAACCCACAAACAAAACCTGCAGACATACCGAAAAAATTAAATGAAACAGTTATGAAATCCTAGAATCGTGTCATTGCTTATCATTTTCTGGAATTTCATAGAGCGGTGTGATGATTTCAAACGGAAAAAAATCAGGACAAAGAAAATAAACGCACAAATTATTCTTTGATTTTTTAAAATGAAAACAGCTATAAATATGATGCGCTTATTGGGTTTTCTTTTCTTTTTTTGGGGGACTAGGACGAAGGGAGGGGGGAGGGGGGGGGTTCATATTTAACTGATATGGTCGATAAATGAACGACATTTAGGCCTAATATCATGAGAGAAAACGCTAATAAATAAGGGTCAAAATTACTAAAATAGTTTACAATGAGTTTCCAATGTAGACTATCATTATAAGTAACGATAACAACCCTAACAGGAATATCAGCAGAAGCGAAGTTTTCAGACCGAGCCACACTTTATATTTTCAATTATTATTATTATCATTATTATTATTATTATTATTATTATTATTATTATTAATATTATTATGATTATTATGATGATGATTATTATTATTATTAGTTTTTAAAGTTAGTGTTTCACGGCGTTCGCAAATCCATATGTCCACAACCGTTCGAGGGACACACATTACGCATTTTCAGTCAGGTAGGAATTAATTTTGAATTTTATTTTTTGCCCTGGTGGCGCCGAAGCTTACTCTTTTCAATTTGAGAAACACCAAGGGATCTTTAACGTGCGCAACTTCACATGGGACCTCTGAAATTTTTCCCCCCTTATCAGAGAAGGCTAGGTGTTCGAACTTACCTCCCCTAAGATTAGGGTTGTGATTAAAAGACAGGTATAAGGAGGAGTCAAGGAGAAAGAAGGGAAGGGGGGGGTGGCATAAAAACAGTTTTAGTAGAGAAATGATATGAGAGGTGTTATGTCTGTGTTTGGGGGGGGGGAGAAAGTGGGAGACGAAAGCCAGACTACAGAACTTGATTAGAGAATAAGAAAGGAGGTGAAAGGGGACTTTTCTTTAAGAGAAGAGAATTTTCCGTCGTTGTCAGAATTGGAACCTGGGATCTATTAAACGAGAGGCGAACACTGCACCTTTGGACCACGAGAGCCCCCCTCAGTGTAATTTGAGGTGAAAATGAAAATGAATCTGGGTTTAACGCCCTTGTCAAAACTATTAGGTTATTTCATAGGCGGTACCTCCGAGCTTAACGTCCATCTCCGAAAGGAACGAGCCAAGTGGGATATTCGTGTAAAGTGTCTTTTCCCAAGGACACAACGTCGGACAGAGCTGACGCTCGAACCCCTGAACCTGCAATCTGACATTACGAGTACGGTAGCCTAAACCACTAGGCTCCTGACGCCACTATTTTGAATCCTGTAGTACTTCTTCATGGTACATATATTCGTATTCTGAGATGGCAGTGATCTTTGAACCATTAGTTGTTATATAATGCATTTATTAAAGGAAATTACATCAATTGGTTTTTAAGCTGTTCTTTGAGATTGCTTCTTCTCTGATAACAGCGTCAAGTTTATTTATAAAAACTACGGTCAGACACAGGTATAAATAGATAAGCCGTTCTTTGTAGGCTCAATTCATTTGTTCGTGTTGGTCTTCGAAGGCTGTTTTACCCTTGACTGTGTGCTACAAGGTTGTCGAGGTAAGAAGAAAAAAAAGTGGAATTCTGTATATATTTGTTGTACTTTTAAAACATTTTTAACAGTTTATTAAACAAGTCCACGCGTTTATCTTACTCTAACTGAAGTTATGCGTGGTGGCCCAGGAAATAGGGCATAATGCCAGTTGTTTTTTTCATATAAACTGACGCTGCCTCATGAAACAAAACCTTTTCATTTCTCTTGATATAACAGTTTAACCTAAATACTTACTCTCTCCCTATACCGTCAGGCACATAAGACAGTCGACTACACGTCCTCCAATTTTGGCATATTATTCAGGCTAGGGGTGATTGCCTCATCCCTTATTGTTCCTCTTAAGCTTCTTTGTTTTTTGTTTTTGTAAAGTGTTTTACGGTGCTCGCAACTGCATAAGGTCACATGAGCGAGCGGGACACACCTAATATTTTCAGTTGGCAGGAAATTTTGAATTTTGCCCGAGTGGCGGCCGCAGCCTACTCTTATCGATTTTAGACCACCAAGGGACCTTTAACGTGCGCAACTTGCACACGGGCCCTCCGAGATTTTTCGCCCTTGTCCGAGAAGGCTAGGTCTTTCCTACCAGAAGATCAGGGGTGTGGCTGAAAGACAGCAGTAAGAAGAAGCGAAGGAGAAGCAGTAGAAAGGCTGCAGAAAGAATCAGGAGCCCAGAGGAAGGGGCAAAGGAGGTGAGGAGGTGTGGGCAGAAAGAGGAGACGAAAGCAGACGACAGAACATTGCTAGAGAGCAGGAAACGAGGTGAAAGGAAACAAATTTAGAGACGAAAATGTTTCGGTCGCTACCCGGATTCGAACCCGGGACCTTTGAATGAGAGGCCAACGCCTTAACTTCTAGGCCACGAGAGCCCCCCTCTTAAGCTTCCTAAATATTTAAGCATCAGTTTAAGAAACGTTTGGAGGAAAGTTGAAAAAAAGACGTTTCTAAATTAATTGGAAAATGAAAAAAATCAGCTTTTAAACAATATCAATGTTGTTGTTTTAAAATAGAAAAGAAAACGTACATGAACTGGCAAATGTTTGGATGACAATTTTTCTTTCCTGGTTTTATAGGTTACAGAAAGGGCGAGGCAAATTAATTTGCTTTTTCTTGCAAAACTAAATTACACTCTGGATTTTTACACCGAATCCACAGGCAAGCGAAGAATTCAAAATTTTAATGCTTATTATAAATTTCCTTTTATCTTGTCTCCAGCATAGAGACATATAAATAACAAGAGAAATTGAAAACAAACAAACAACAACAACAACACCAACAACAACAACATCAACAACAACAATAACAACGACAACAACAACAACAGCAGCAGCAGCAGCAACAACAATAACAACAACAACAACTGTGCAGTGAAAGGCTTCCAGTCGACGTCGAACGATTTCAAGGTGACCTGACCCTTGAATACCGACCCATGGCTGACCTCAGTGTTAAAGGTCACGGGAATCGGCGCATGATTGGGGCAGTGGCTGCAGAGATGCCCCATTACGGAGGTCAGACAACGGAATCTCCTTGGGGAAGATTCAGGGAGGTTGGACTGCGTCATCCGCTACCCAAGATAGGCGGTGGCCCTGACAAAGAGCACCGTCTTCATGGCTCCAAACAATTGGGATGGATAGACAACCACATGCAACAACACCGACTACCACATACAACAACAACAACAACAACACCGACTACCACATACAACAACAACAGCAACAACAACACCGACTACCACATACAACAACAACAGCAACAACAACACCGACTATAACATACAACAACAACAACAACAACAACAACAACACCACCGACTACCACATACAACAACAACAACAACAACAACAACACCGACTACCACATACAACAACAACAACAACAACAACACCGACTACCACATACAACAACAACAACAACAACAACAACAAATACAACAGCAACAACAACACCGACAACAACAACAACAACAACAACAACAACAACAACAACAACAACAACAACAAATACAACAGCAACAGCAACACCGACAACAACAACAACAACAACGACAACAACAACAACAGCTATTTCAGCAACAACATCATC